TGTGCCATCCTTGGTTGCCATCTTGAAAATGTTTGACATCAGATAATCATCCACATATTGTGCTTTTCTTTTCACTAAAGTTTCATTTAAAAAGATAACACCAGTTATCTCAGAAAATGACAAATTTTGTGGAAGATGAAGAAAAAATGCAAGTTTGGACAGAACATTCAAGCTATAACAGCTCTAAATTTGTAATGGGATTAAATATTTGACAAAGAATAGGTTTCTAACACAGAATAAATATGGTATAAAGATAAAGTTTAATAGATTCAGCATATCAGAGAACCCCAAGATCAAATTAAGATTTAAAATTTAGTTTAATTTTGGACCCTTTGGACCTCAATGTAAACCAATTTCATAATAGAGCCCAAAAACTAAATACAGGTTAGATTCAGGCTGAATCAGCATCTTTAAAATTATTGTTGAAATCAAACACAGTTAAATTATGGACCCCATTTGAACCAACTTGAAAACTGGGACCAAAATCATAAATCTAAGTACATATTTATATTCAGGATATTTGATTATTTCTATTTATCATTCAAAGAACCCTAATTCATTGTAATTAGAGTTCAAGTTTTGTTAAAATTAAACTAAGTTAAAATTTGGACCCTTTGGACTTTAAAATATGGACAAATTTGAAAACCGGACCAAAATTAAAAATCTAAATATAAAACATTTGCATTTTGTATATCAAAAGAACCTCAAGAATTCAAGTTGTGTAGAAATAAGAAAAAAAATTTTGGACCATTTTGAAATCAATGTGAACCAATTTAAAATGGGGCCCAATTGCAACATCTTGAATTATTTAAATACATTGTTAGATTTAGCATATTAAGAACCCAAATAATGTATTTATTTTAATTTGTTCTTGTCCTAAACATGCATGAACTATTTGCCATTGGACATTAGCATTACCAACAACCAATCAATTAATCGAACAGGTGAAATATCTTCAAAAGTACCAATAAAAATCTCCCCCTTTTATATTTGAAAAAGTAAAATCACAAAAATACTGAACTCCGAGGAAAATTCAAAAAGGAAAGTCCCCAATCAAATGGCAAAATTAAAAGTTCAAACACATCAAACGAATGGATAACAACTGTCATATTCCTGACTTGGTACAGGCATTTTCTTATGGTTTTATAGCTAGATAATAAACCTCTCACTTGTATGACAGTCCCATCAAATTCCATTATATTGACAAGGATGCGTGAACAAAACAAACAGACACAATAGGTAAAATTGTCAAAAATAGGGGTACAGCAGTCAACATTGTGTTATCATCTTAATCACTATAAAAACAAACAAATGTAACGAAGAAGCACAAAAAGGCATACATCAAATTTAACATCCTCATTTTGCTTATATTATACGATTTTATATATCTATGTAAAATCCACCCATAAAGGATGGAAGGTTTTAAGTACTGGTGTAAAATCGCGCGTTTGAAATTCGCACAGGTAGACATAAAATAATTTTGTCGTTCAAAGTATGACGGGATACATAAATACAGAGTCACGTAAAATGGATATCACAAAAAACAGACTTAACAGTAAAATACGTATTAATAAATAAAATAATTGAAATGGAATGTATGAACAGTTCATTAGTCATTGTTAGTTATTGAATGGAAACTATAGGAGCCGCCCAATATAGTACTACAAATTAAAATTAGCAAAGTGATTTTTCAATGGGAAAACCAAGTTAACAAAGACCTGTTTAATAAAACTGATGTACAAATGTATAACATGTAATTGTATAATTATGTTATTATATAAGTGATTACATATACTTTGTATGATAACCATGTTATACAAACAGTTAAATTAATATAATAAGTTAATAATAACTTACCAATATCTTCTTCTATACATGTATTTAGTTTGACCTGGCTATTGTCACTTTTACAAAAATTCATCTTAATTGAGCATTGCTTGCATATATATATAGTCCTACAAATAAAAAGTGTTAAACTATAAAATAATTCTTCAATTTTGTTTTACATGAAATAAAATATATCAGACAGGAAATGTAGGGTAGTGTAGCATCACTGTGCATGTAGTTTAAATGTATGTTTTTTTCTTTTAAAAAGGGCTCTATAAGTAATCTACATACATGTACATGTACATGTAGGGTCCTAAAATTGAACTTTACAAAAGTTTGCAATGCTTTTGATTTTTTTAGTCTCCATGGCCTGTTAGTTCATTAAAAAAATATTATTCTCTGGATAAAGTTGTCTAGTGTTACATGTACAGTTTATTGTATGTAAAACATGTATTTGTAGGAGGCTTTTCCACGAGATAAAACTTTTTTTAGTAGACAAAGAGCTGAACAACTTCCAGTAAGAACTGAAAATATAACTTTAATAGGGGAAGAGAATAAAAACCTGACCTGCTAAACGTTGAATATGTTGAAATAGATTTTGATTATTATCATGATTCTGGTCTATAAATTGATTTTTTAAAGCAGAAAATAAATATATATTGTACCCTGGTTAATAGCTTGAAAATTAAAATTCTGTCCTAAGCTGACAAGGACATAAATATTTTGACCATTCTAACCCTCCCCCTTGCTTTTTTAATCAAATGGTCCCAAGACACAACAATGTATATACGGATATATATTATTTGCTTGCACTTTGCCATAGGAAATAAATAAGACGTCTTAGAAACAGGTCAGGTGTAAAAGAATATTCACATGCCCCTTCAACACCCACCCCCCTTTTTTTAATCTAGCTAATGTATCAATTGTTGGTCCCCTAATTTCAGATTGACTACATGGAACAAATGAAAATTGATTGTAAGATTTGTACCTGTTCCTACTGGAATAACTCGTCCTGTATACAGCCTGTTTTGAAAGGGTGAAGATCCTTGGTCAGCTTTGGCTTTGCTGGAAGAGGGTTGGACGAGATGTTGACATCTGGCTTGACTATCATGTCAATGAATTCCATAAAATTCCCTGTACTTCGAGCATATTCAAAGACAAGATGATGTAACAACCATGGGAAAATAAACCACTCCTTGTCTTATATAAAATAAGGAGTCCTGTTGGAAATTCTACACCATAGTTTTCAGTATTATTCAGACTTCCTAAATGTAGATGAATGGTAGTCTGTATCTGTATGTCTATGAATATGTTTGGTTACCAATGCTGGTTTCAATACCACGGTAGAGAGAGTGTCATTGATTTATTGATGGTGCGCCAGAGCAGTTTTGACACTCTCAATCTCAATTTTGGTGCGAGCAAGGTGGTTCCACTCGCTCACTTTTTTTTTATGAAGAATGATTTAGAATACTTTTGTTTTGCTCGTTGAAATCTAAAAACACTTTTTGCTGTTCATGGACTTATTTTTCCAATCAATATTTATCATGTTTATTCACTAAATTATTGTCATGATTGTCAAATTTCTTGGCAGTAATTATTTTTTTTGGAAATGCTCTTTTGGTCTTTAGTGCATTCAGATATCTTAAATAGTTTGTAATATGTAGATGTATAAGGCTGGGATAGCCCACATGCTCATCCTAGATTATTAAAGTCACAAACTTCACTGTAAACATTTGTCTGCCAAACCATCACTGGGAGCTGACATGTTTGAGATCTTACCCAAGGGAGATAAGTCAATGGAAGAGCATAAAAGATGGACTCCCTGGTTTCAGACAATTAATTGATTTTTGGACTTGCAGTACAAATACGTCTTATTTCATTTTTCAGACAAATTGATTTTACTTGTTCGAATGATTTTATGAGCCATTTTAGTACCAATTGTGTTTATAATTTAGTTAAAATCAAAATCAATATGTGTCAATTTGGGACTAAAATCACCATTCTTCCAATGCATAAATTAACATATAATAGTCATTTGCCAAGCTTAATATTTTGTTTTGATATAAAACATACCCCATAGTTAAAACCGATATAAGTTGCAAACAAATCCGGAATGGGTCTTGCAAGATAGAAGCGAATGAAAACCACGTAAATTCATGTATGAAAAACCCCGCCTTTGTGTCCCTGCTCCTGGCAATGTGCCAAATCTTTTAAATTTTTATTTGTATTGTTCATAACATAGTAAAATGGATGAGTTTCAGCTGACATTACTCTAAAAACTCAACTACCCCATTTAATATGCTTCTGGGTCATTCTTAAAAGGCATAAAAAAGTTGGATTTTTCCTTGGTTTCATTATGAATTTACAGAATTATGCAAATGAGGCTGTTACTAAAAATAGATACGATTCTGGGAAAAATTAAGTGGTCAAATTCTTTTATTTTATGTCAAGGATTAAGATGATGTATAAAAATTTGTCAAGTTGTGATTGTCGATTTGGACGATTTTCTGAATATTGCATGGTTTTCTGGCGGATTGGCTCTTAATAGGACTGTATTATATTTCTTTCCATTTTTGGGGACCATTATTATCAATTATGTTGTGTGCAGTATACAAATATGTAATAATGTGCACGTTTACTATCATCCATGTTTTATGTGGATGGCGAAGGAGTTGACAGAATGATATATGCAAAAAGAATATAAAATGACATTGTCAAAGTTTTAGGACCCTGTTATTTCAATATAAAAAATTACTTACTTCATTGTCGTTTTTGTGGACTACCGACTCAAGAGAAAGTGTGTTGTAAACGGTGTATACATACTGTCGAATAAATTTCGCGGGCAAAAATATTGATGTACTTTTTTATACAAGTATAAAAAGTAACATCATTCCATTATACAAGGTAACCCCCCCCCCCTATATTTTTTTAACCTAACTTCAGATTTCCAAACATAAACGATTCTGAACTTTTCTAAATAGATACGCCAATGTCTTCTCTAATGTCTTCTCTACGTTACATATACAGTCTTTGCCCGTCACAATCTCTATAAATTGGTCTTCAATCATCTTAAGGTACGCCATTCCTCGTTTTTAAGATAAAAGTTTCAGTTTTTTAACCGTAACTTCAGATTTTGAACATAAACCACTCTGGAGATTTTCCTAAAACATGCGCAAATGTCTCCTCTACAACACCTATATAGTCGTTGTCCGTCACAATCTCTTTGAAATGGTCAAAAATTTCCTTTTAGTGCCCTACCCCCCTAATCTCATTTTGTCAATTTCACAATAAAATTTTCAGTTTTTTAAACGCAACTTCAGATTTTCGAACATAAACCACTCTCGAGATTTTCTTAAACGATGCGCCTTAATATCCTCTACAACACCTATATAGTCGTTGCCCGTCACAATCTCTTGAAATTGGTCCAAAATTAACTTATATTGCCCTACCCCCTATTCTCATTTTGTCAATTTCACAATAAAAGTTTCAGTTTTTTAACCGTAACTTCAGATTTTCCAACATAAACCACTCTGGTGATTTTCCTAAACGATGCGCCGTTGTCTCTTCTACAACACCTATATAGTCGTTGCCCGTCACAATCTCTTGAAATTGGTCCAAATTTAACTTAAATTGGCCTAACCCCCCATCTGATTTTGTCAATTTCACAATAAAAGTTTCAGTTTTTTAACCGTAACTTCAGATTTTCGAACATAAACCACTCTGGAGATTTTCTTAAACGATGCGCCATAATATCCTCTACAACACCTATATAGTCGTTGCCCGTCACAATCTCTTGAAATTGGTCCAAATTCTTCTTTTAGTGCCCTACCCCCTAATCTCATTTTGTCAATTTCACAATAAAATTTTCAGTTTTTTAACCGTAACTTCAGATTTTCGAACATAAACCACTCTGGAGATTTTCTTAAACGATGCGCCAATATCTCCTCTAAAACACCTATATAGTTGTTGCCCGTCACAATCTCTTGAAAATGGTCCAAATTTTTCTTTTAGTGCCCTACCCCCTAATCTCATTTTGTCAATTTCACAATAAAATTTTCAGTTTTTTAACCGTTACTTCAGATTTTCGAACATAAACCACTCTGGAGATTTTCTTTAACGATGCGCAAATGTCTCCTCTACAATACCTATATAGTCCTTGCCCGTCACAATCTCTTTAAAATGGTCCAATTTTTTCTTTTAGTGCCCTACCCCTCTAATCTCATTTTGTCAATTTCACAATAAAATTTTCAGTTTTTTAACCGTAACTTCAGATTTTCGAACAGAAACCACTCTGGAGATTTTCCGAAACGATGCGCCATTTTCTCCTCTGCAACACCTATATAGTCGTTGCCCGTCACAATCTCTTGAAATTGGTCCAAAATTAACTTAAATTGCCCTACCCCTAATCTCATTTTGTCAATTTCACAATTTCAGTTTTTTAACCGTAACTTCAAATTTTCGAACATAAACCACTCTGGAAATTTTCTTAAACGATGCGCCATTGTCTCCTCTACAACACCTATATAGTCGTTGCCCGTCACAATCTCTTGAAATTGGTCAAAAATTAACTTAAATTGGCCTACCCCCTAATCTCATTTTGTCAATTTCAGGATTTCAGTTTTTTAACCGTAACTTCACATTTTCGAACATAAACCACTCTGGAGATTTTCCTTAACGATGCGCCAATGTCTCCTCTACAACACCTATATAGTCGTTGCCCGTCACAATTTCTGTAAATTGGTCCAAAATTAACTTAAATTGGCCTAACCCCCAATCTCATTTTGTCAATTATGAAATTTCAGTTTTTTAACCGTAACTTCAGATTTTCGAACATAAACCACTCTGGAGATTTTCTTAAACGATGCGCCATTGTCTCCCCTACAACACCTATATAGTCGTTGCCCGTCACAATCTCTTTAAAATGTTCCAAATTTTTCTTTTAGTGCCCTACCCCCCTAATCTCATTTTGTCAATTTCACAATAAAATTTTCAGTTTTTTAACCGTCACTTCAGATTTTCGAACATAAACCACTCTGGAGATTTTCCTAAACGATGCGCCATTGTCTCCTCTACAATACCTATACAGTCGTTGCCCGTCACAATCTCTTGAAATTGGTCCAAAATTAACTTAAATTGGCCTACCCCCTAGTCTAATTTTGTCAATTTCACAATTTCAGTTTTTTAACCGTAACATCAGATTTTCGAACATAAACCACTCTGGAAATTTTCTTAAACGATGCGCCATTGTCTGCTCTACAACACCTATATAGTCGTTGCCCGTCACAATCTCTTGAAATTGGTCCAAAATTAACTTAAATTGGCCTACCCCCTAATCTAATTTTGTCAATTTCACAATTTCAGTTTTTTAACCGTAACTTCAAATTTTCGAACATAAACCACTCTGGAGATTTTCTTAAACGATGCGCAAATGTCTCCTCTACAATACCTATATAGTCGTTGCCCGTCACAATCTCTTTAAAATGGTCCAAATTTTTCTTTTAGTGCCCTACCCCCCTAATCTCATTTTGTCAATTTCACAATAAAATTTTCAGTTTTTTAACCGTAACTTCAGATTTTCGAACATAAACCACTCTGGAGATTTTCCTAAACAATGCGCCATTGTCTCCTTTACAACACCTTTATAGTCGTTGTCCGTCACAATCTCTTGAAATTGGTCCAAAATTAACTTAAATTGCCATACCCCCTAATCTCATTTTGTCAATTTCGCAAAAAAAGTTTCAGTTTTTTAACCGTAACATCAGATTTTCGAACATAAACCACTCTGGAAATTTTCTTAAACGATGCGCCATTGTCTCTTCTACAACACCTATATAGTCGTTGCCCGTCACAATCTCTTGAAATTGGTCCAAAATTAACTTAAATTGGCCTACCCCCTAATCTAATTTTGTCAATTTCACAATTTCAGTTTTTTAACCGCAACTTCAGATTTTCGAACATAAACCACTCTGGAGATTTTCTTAAACGATGTGCCAATATCTCCTCTACATCACCTATATAGTCGTTGCCCGTCACAATCTCTTGAAATTGGTCCAAAATTAACTTAAATTGCCCTACCCCCTAATCTAATTTTGTCAATTTCACAATTTCAGTTTTTTAACCGTAACATCAGATTTTCGAACATAAACCACTCTGGAAATTTTCTTAAACGATGCGCCATTGTCTCCTCTACAACACCTATATATTCGTTGCCCGTCACAATCTCTTGAAATTGGTCCAAAATTAACTTAAATTGGCCTACCCCCTAATCTAATTTTGTCAATTTCACAATTTCAGTTTTTTAACCGTAACATCAGATTTTCGAACATAAACCACTCTGGAAATTTTCTTAAACGATGCGCCATTGTCTCCTCTACAACACCTATATATTCGTTGCCCGTCACAATCTCTTGAAATTGGTCCAAAATTAACTTAAATTGGCCTACCCCCTAATCTAATTTTGTCAATTTCACAATTTCAGTTTTTTAACCGTAACTTCCGATTTTCGAACATAAAGCAGTCTGGAGATTTTCTTAAACGATGCGCCATTGTCTTCTTACAACACCTATATAGTCGTTGCCCGTCACAATCTCTTGCAATTGGTCAAAAATTAACTTAAATTGGCCTACCCCCCTAATCTCATTTTGTCAATTTCACAATTTCAGTTTTTTAACCGTAACTTCCGATTTTCGAACATAAAGCAGTCTGGAGATTTTCTTAAACGATGCGCCATTGTCTTCTTACAACACCTGTATAGTCGTTGCCCGTCACAATCTCTTGCAATTGGTCAAAAATTAACTTAAATTGGCCTACCCCCCAATCTCATTTTGTCAATTTCACAATTTCAGTTTTTTAACCGTAACTTCAGATTTTCGAACATAAACCACTCTGGAGATTTTCTTAAACGATGCGCCATTGTCTCCCCTACAACACCTATATAGTCGCTGCCCGTCACAATCTCTTGAAATTGGTCCAAACTTAACTTAAATTGGCCTACCCCCCAATCTCATTTTGTCAATTTCACAATTTCAGTTTTTTAACCGTAATTTGAGATTTTCGAACATAAACCATTCTGGAGATTTCCCTAAACGATGCGCCATTGTCTCCTCTACAATACCTATATAGTCGTTGCCCGTCACAATCTCTTTAAAATGGTCCAAATTTTTCTTTTAGTGCCCTACCCCCCTAATCTCATTTTGTCAATTTCACAATAAAATTTTCAGTTTTTTAACCGTAACTTCAGATTTCCGAACATAAATCACTCTGGAGATTTTCTTAAACGATGTGCCATTGTCTCCTCTACAACACCTATATAGTCGTTGCCCGTCACAATCTCTTTAAAATGGTCCAAATTTTTCTTTTAGTGCCCTACACCCCTAATCTCATTTTGTCAATTTCACAATAAAATTTTCAGTTTTTTAACCGTAACTTCAGATTTTCGAACATAAACCACTCTGGAGATTTTCCTAAACAATGCGCCATTGTCTCCTTTACAACACCTTTATAGTCGTTGTCCGTCACAATCTCTTGAAATTGGTCCAAAATTAACTTAAATTGCCATACCCCCTAATCTCATTTTGTCAATTTCGCAAAAAAAGTTTCAGTTTTTTAACCGTAACATCAGATTTTCGAACATAAACCACTCTGGAAATTTTCTTAAACGATGCGCCATTGTCTCCTCTACAACACCTATATAGTCGTTGCCCGTCGCAATCTCTTGAAATTGGTCCAAAATTAACTTAAATTGGCCTACCCCTCTAATCTCATTTTGTCAATTTCACAATTTCAGTTTTTTAACCGTAACTTCAGATTTTCGACATAAAGCAGTCTGGAGATTTTCTTAAACGATGCGCCATTGTCTCCTTACAACACCTATATAGTCGTTGCCCGTCACAATCTCTTGCTTTGGTCAAAAATTAACTTAAATTGGCCTACCCCTCTAATCTCATTTTGTCAATTTCACAATTTCAGTTTTTTAACCGTAACTTCAAATTTTCGAACATAAACCACTCTGGAGATTTTCTTAAACGATGCGCCATTGTCTCCCCTACAACACCTATATAGTCGTTGCCCGTCACAATCTCTTGAAATTGGTCCAAAATTAACTTAAATTGGCCTACCCCCTAATCTCATTTTGTCAATTTCACAATTTCAGTTTTTTAACCGTAATTTGAGATTTTCGAACATAAACCATTCTGGAGATTTTCCTAAACGATGCGCCAATGTCTCCTCTACAACACCTATTTAGTCGTTGCCCGTCACAATCTCTGTAAATTGGTCCAAAATTAACTTGAATTGGCCTTCCCCCGTAATCTCATTTTGTCAATTTCACAATTTCAGTATTTTAACCGTAACTTCAGATTTTCGAACATAAACCACTCTGGAGATTTTCTTAAACGATGCGCCAATGTCTCCTCTACAACACCTATGTAGTCGTTGCCCGTCACAATCTCGTTAAAACGGTCCAAATTTTTCTTTTAGTGCCCTACCCCCTAATCTCATTTTGTCAATTTCACAATAAAATTTTCAGTTTTTTAACCGTAACTTCAGATTTTCGAACATAAACCACTCTGGAGATTTTCCTAAACGATGCACCATTGTCTCCTCTACAACACCTATATAGTCGTTGCCCGTCACAATCTCTTGAAATTGGTCCAAAATAAACTTAAATTGCCCTACCCCCTAATCTCATTTTGTCAATTTCACAATAAAATTTACAGTTTTTTAACCGTAACTTCAGATTTTCGAACTTAAACCACTCTGGAGATTTTCCTAAACGATACGCCATTGTCTCCTCTACAACACCTTTATAGTCGTTGCCCGTCACAATCTCTTGAAATTGATCCAAAATTAACTTAAATTGCCCTACCCCCTAATCTCATTTTGTCAATTTCACAATAAAAGTTTCAGTTTTTTAACCGTAACATCAGATTTTCGAACATAAACCACTCTGGAAATTTTCTTAAACGATGCGCCATTGTATCCTCTACAACACCTATGTAGTCGTTGCCCGTCACAATCTCTTGAAATTGGTCCAAAATTAACTTAAATTGGCCTACCCCCTAATCTAATTTTGTCAATTTCACAATTTCAGTTTTTTAACCGCAACTTCAGATTTTCGAACATAAACCACTCTGGAGATTTTCTTAAACGATGCGCCAATGTCTCCTCTACAACACCTATACAGTCGTTGCCCGTCACAATCTCGTTAAAACGGTTCAAATTTTTCTTTTAGTGCCCTACCCCCTAATCTCATTTTGTCAATTTCACAATAAATTTTCAGTTTTTTAACCGTAACTTCAGATTTTCGAACATAAACCACTCTGGAGATTTTCCTAAACGATGCACCATTGTCTCCTCTACAACACCTATATAGTCGTTGCCCGTCACAATCTCTTGAAATTGGTCCAAAATAAACTTAAATTGCCCTACCCCCTAATCTCATTTTGTCAATTTCACAATAAAATTTACAGTTTTTTAACCGTAACTTCAGATTTTCGAACTTAAACCACTCTGGAGATTTTCCTAAACGATACGCCATTGTCTCCTCTACAACACCTTTATATTCGTTGCCCGTCACAATCTCTTGAAATTGATCCAAAATTAACTTAAATTGCCCTACCTCCTAATCTCATTTTGTCAATTTCACAATAAAAGTTTCAGTTTTTTAACCGTAACATCAGATTTTCGAACATAAACCACTCTGGAAATTTTCTTAAACGATGCGGCATTGTCTCCTCTACAACACCTATGTAGTCGTTGCCCGTCACAATCTCTTGAAATTGGTCCAAAATTAACTTAAATTGGCCTACCCCCTAATCTAATTTTGTCAATTTCACAATTTCAGTTTTTTAACCGCAACTTCAGATTTTCGAACATAAACCACTCTGGAGATTTTCTTAAACGATGCGCCAATGTCTCCTCTACAACACCTATATAGTCGTTGCCCGTCACAATCTCGTTAAAACGGTCCAAATTTTTCTTTTAGTGCCCTACCCCCTAATCTCATTTTGTCAATTTCACAATAAAATTTTCAGTTTTTTAACCGTAACTTCAGATTTTCGAACATAAACCACTCTGGAGATTTTCCTAAACGATGCACCATTGTCTCCTCTACAACACCTATATTGTCGTTGCCCTTCACAATCTCTTGAAATTGGTCCAAAATAAACTTAAATTGCCCTACCCCCTAATCTCATTTTGTCAATTTCACAATAAAATTTACAGTTTTTTAACCGTAACTTCAGATTTTCGAACATAAACCACTCTGGAGATTTTCCTAAACGATACGCCATTGTCTCCTCAACAACACCTTTATAGTCGTTGCCCGTCACAATCTCTTGAAATTGGTCCAAAATTAACTTAAATTGCCCTACCCCCTAATCTCATTTTGTCAATTTCACAATACAAGTTTCAGTTTTTTAACCGTAACATCAGATTTTCGAACATAAACCACTCTGGAAATTTTCTTAAACGATGCGCCATTGTCTCCTCTACAACACCTATATAGTCGTTGCCTGTAACAATCTATTCAAATTGGTAAAAAAATAACTTAAAATATCCTATACTATACCCTAATTTCATTTTGTTAATTTCAGTTTTTTTTACCACAATTTAAGATTTTCGAACATAAACCACTCTGGAGATTTTCCTAAACGATGCGGCACTATCTCCTCTTAAACACCTATATAGTCGTAACCTGTCACAATCTCTATTAATCGGACCAAACAACGTAAAGTGCACCCCCATTCCCTAAAAATGCATTATGTCAATGTGTTAACTTATGGTCATTGTAATCCAGCTGTCTATTGAATGCCTTATGTGGATTTATTTAGTTAGGAAAGAAAAGCTTTTATTCTTTATATATGAAGTATGGTTTCCCTTTTGTTTTAAGTTAGTTTTTTCGTTTTTGTTTAAGATTGTATGTATTCTCATAATTGTTCGCTAGCTCGAAAAAACGTGATTTACTTATGTGATATTGTGGTTTTTAGTTATACCTCCTAATTGTTCGCTAGCTAATTGTTCGCTACAATTGTTCGCTAGCTTGAGTCAGGTCCTCCCCTGTCCTAAATCCGTTTCTGGCAGAGACCAAACTAAGGATGAGAATGTAAAGAACTGTTGATTTTACAGACCTATTAACGTCATATGCGTTTCTTCTAATGTTATAGTTTTAGCTCTAATATTTCTTGTTTATGTCACTGGTTAACAATTTATCCAATGATTTTTTCCTAATAATATCATCCAGTATTGATATTTTCAAAAATGTGTAATACATTTTTGATTTAATATCTAATAATAGCTTGACTAATATGCATGCACAGCATAAATTTACATGACATTTGTCATATCGGACAGAGGGTCTTAACCGAGATAGGATATTGGTTTGGGATTATACTAAAGGCAAAAGAAGAGAGCGACACAAGCAGTCAATTTATCACACATTTTCACTGCGGTGCAATATTTGGCTGAGAAAAACACAGTAGACTTAGAGGCGAATACGAATTTTGGAGTAATTACCCCAAACCTCAATCCCAGCCTTCTCTTTATGGTATGGAACCTTGTAGTACAATTTTAGAGAGATCTATACACTTAAAAACAAGTTATTGTCTGGAAACTAGAAAAATGCTTGTTTTTGGCCCCTTTTTGCCTCTAATTCCTGAACGTTCGGGGCAATTAACCCCAAACTCAATCCCGGCCTTCTCTTTGTAATATGGTACCTTGTGGTACAATTTCAGAGAGATCCTTACACTTACACACAAATTATTGTCCGGAAACTACAAAAATGCTTGTTTTTGGCCCCTTTTTGTCCTGAAACCAAATGTGTCTTCGGACGACGACGACATCATAGCATTATACGACGCAAAAAAGTTTTTGCGGTCGTATAGAAATGAGGAATTATAATAACCAAATATTTATCCCAATAGCATGGGAAATGAAATAATTTTGTAAATCCTATTAAGTATTTATAGCGTTGTCAAATAAAATCAAATAAAAAGACCACAATTGGCTACTTTAGTCCAAATGTCATTAACGACGTCAAACATAAATGACTAGCTTAAAATAATTGATGTTTTTATATATGAATATCCTTGGATCAAAGTAATATTTACAGTACAATTTAGGAGTTGTAAGTCATACTAGTATCCAATGCTGGGGCGTGGAAATATTCAATGTTATCACAACTTACAAGATCAAAACCCAATCTAGGATAATTTGATAAGTTGTTTGTAAGAGTATATCTTATTAGTAAAGTAAATTAGCTGTTTGTGCTGTTTTGATCAAATGGATAAGAAAATATAACATACAATGTACTGTGGATTCATTTATTTTCGGGGGTATCAATTTTCGTGGATTGAGGAACACTTGCATTTTCGTGGATATTTAATTTCGTGGTTTTGCCAATCTCTGCATACAAAACCAAATTAACATTTGTAATTCGTTGAACATTTGAATTCGTGGTTCACCTGTACCCACGAAAATTGGTATCCAACGAATAATAATGAATCCACAGTATAATAGTTGACCATAAGCTTTTCTGTCTTATTCATCTGACCATTGCTTAAAGGATGATAATAAATAAAACACATGTTATTGCCTAAATCCCGTAAAAAGTTAATGTGTCAGTAAGGATAAATTCAATCTGGCAAATACCGGTATTAGTCCTTTTATTACACGAGTTACATATTCTATATGTAATTAATATTGTCTTTGCTATAAATATTTTTTTCGGCTATGAGCTTATCTGTAAAGGTTGTAAGATGATAATCAAATGATAAAAAGAGTTATTTTATACGCAAACAATAGGCATTTTTTATTCTTTTATGTTACTGCCGAACTCTCACTTTTGTCGCATGAACAGATGGCCCACATGGTATAACCATAGATGTATAGACCCATAGATGGTATAACCGCTTCGAGAATGAAATTTGACACCAAGACTGGTGTATAAAACACAATTATAAGAAATCGGCTTTTTATCAAATGGTTTTGATAAATACGATTCCTTCTTTCTCATGCATCATTTGCCGTAGTTAGCTTTTACCATTTTTTTTTTATAAAACTATGGAGATGTGGTATCCTAGCTAATGAGACAACTTTCCAAGGGAGACAATAGGATGAGGATGTAAACAGTGGATTGTATGCCCTATTGTAAATATAATTATATATATATACTTGAATTACACTGCCAAAAATATGTTCGTTAGCGTACCTGAGGTCAATCTCACAAACACACATAGAGAGAGACATACACACACAATTTTTATTCGAATATGAATGAAAGGTGAGGTAGGATGTAGGTCAATGAGGCACCAACCAAATGGTAAGGAGGAAAACATCAAGAGGTAAACATATTGTGTTTAGAAAAGAAGTAGAAAAATGAGTATTCGATTGATTTATAAATATGCATTTGCTCTTGCAGACGTGAGACTCATTATCTCATACAAAGTTTAAACACTCCAACTGTTCATCACAATATACAAGATCAAAACCATCACCTCATACAATGGACGGTGAAGTAATCTAGTATAAATACATTCGACAACATCAACAATCATTAAGACCCAGGAGGTTATATTAACATCCTTACTAAGACAGAAATAACAAACAGGGACTTGGGTTTTGATTAGGTACATAGTACATTCATTTTCCTGCTACAGATTTTCGTTTGAAAGCACTTTTGAAACTCTTCCATACCCGTCGTTTCTTTTTAGGAGTTACTGCAGCATGATACGCAGCAGTAAATATTTCGTCCATTCCATTTAGTTCTAGCGCACTACATTCTAAATAGTCTACAGCTCCAAATTTCTTAGCTAGTTTCTTTCCTTTTGTAGTTTTTACACAAGCATCTGTGATATCTGTCACTGAACCACGTAAATCAGTTTGTGTTCCCACGAGAATAAATGGGGTATTGGGTCTGAATTCTTTTACCTCTGGAATCCATTTTATTTTGACATTTTCCAGTGAGTCTTTATCTTCCACAGAAAAACAGACTATAAATACATCCGTGTCATAATACGATAATGTCCTCAGTCGGTCGTACGTTTCCTGGAAAAACAACAAAATCATCTTTAAAACGCTTCCTGTTTATTGTTCACTGATTACAATCATTATAGTGAGTTAAAGTGATTCATCCACTTCAATTTGCTAGACGCTGTTTTATAAGAAAATTATTGTCTTAAGAGTTCATTAATATCTAAATGGTTATAATTTTTATGTTCCAATTGATATGGGGAGATCTGGATTTTACAAAATGTACAATGTTGTGTTTTTTTTGGTGATATATATATATATATATATGTTCAAGTTTTCTTCGATCTTTGCTTTAAGTTTTCTTTATGTCTTTATTTTTATTTTCACATTTTTAGTTGCAACTATATGAATTGATTTTAACTTCTATTTACAGTTGAATCGTTTTCAGTAAAAGTATCAACAGATCAGAGTAATCAAGGTTAACCAAAGGAGACTCGGTGTAGAAGTGTGGACTGACTGTGAAGTCACCTGGTTTTTATGTCCTGCAGTCATCCTTTGATAGGTCTCCATGAATTACAAAAGTAATAGGGCACATATCTACAGTGGTTTGGTTTGAGATATTGTTTGATCCAGTACTTACTTGGCCTGCTGTATCAGAGACCTGCATTTTCTCTTGTCCATTATGTGTGTGGATGTTTACTAAAATATAAAATGATCAAGAATTAAATTCTGTAAATATCAGTAGTACATATGTATATCAACAAAAAGAGAAAATACTAAAATGTTCAATTAAGGGTGTTTTACAAGATTTTTGAAGACTGTAATACAGATGGTATAATCGAAGATAAAATCCATTCATTACTCTGTTGTTAATGCGCACAAACGTAATGTACCCGATTGTGGAACACTTGAAACCGTTGGGGTCGAATTTATTGAACCCTAGACTTCATTGTGTAAAACGAATTCCAAATATGGTGCAATTTAAATCATTTATAATCTAAATAATACCAGTTAATGCTAAAAATGATTCATTTGTCATTGTTGAAGTAATTTTTAAAAGACTTCATAAATTGCTTCTCATTCATGCATATAATATGTAAATGAAGGGTTTAACTAATGCAGTGTCTGAATTTGAAGCATTTTCATTCAAGTAAAGTCAAAGGGTCAATTTCATTTTTACTGTGGGAGTGTATATGAATATATGTATATGTCTATTACCTGAAGTGCACCTTATAATTTGACACATTATAAATGTAAGGAATGCTACTGTTTACATGTAACTGTCACTTACAAACTATTTATTTTAAAAAAAGACCCTTTTATAATCGTGTTGGGTAACTATCATTTTACAAGTCAGAAACAGATCAGTTTACGAGACAATAATTATTTTAAAATCTATTTTCTCTTTTCACTAAAACACAATAAATAATTGTTCTATTATGACTGACTTTGCAGGTTCCCTCTGGGATAATATCATGGTGTAATAGATTTATTATTTAGATAAGATCTTTAACCCTATGTAAGATGACAAATTTATGACAATTTTTTCCTTTTTATCCGTATTAAACCACTTTGCATCTTTTAGGTACAGCTCAACGACCAACTTTCTGACCCCACATAATCGATATTTTTGTATCTTCGATGAATTCCCTTTATTTAATCATTTACAAATTGCTTCTTTGTTTCTTTGGTTTTGGGGTATCTCTCATTGGAATGTGTCTGAAATCATATACTCTATCATATTGCTACATTATCTAATGTAAAAGGCGTTTTCCTGTATTTTAGTGTGTCCTTGGTTGTTATAAATAGTTAAGTATATGGTCATTGCCTATTTTTTTCAGTAGCCAAAAACAACTGGCATGAAGAAATATAATCAACTCGCGTTTCCCTGCCACCACTAAGTGAAAACATGCACAAAGAGGGCTTATTATTTGCGGGATGTATAAATACGCAGTAACGTCCATCAGTAATGGGAAACGCATTTTGCATGCGAAAGAATATTTGCAACATTTGAGAGAGGGGTCTTCAGATGAGCTGTTGCAAGGCAAACTCTCAGCCTCTTTTCGAACTGAAGTTCAAACTTCCCGTTCTTCATCTCGAGAAACATTTGCCACTGGACATTTTGCAAGCAATCAACCAATCTTTATTTACACTCAACACTGAAAGTTAATTGATTGAAGGAGTTATAGTTCAGTATTGTCTTTAAAAGAAAAAGACCAATGTGCAGATATAGATAGGGACAAATTTTAGTCAGAAGTCAAATTGATATCAATGCAGTTTTCTAATCACAGAATTATATTGCGTTATGTAAAAAAACCATGTCCCCCTAGAAAATAGTCATACACAGTGATCTGTAGTGGTTAACATCCTAGTATTTTGGACTGTGGTGGATAGTTGTTTCAACCATACCTCATCTCCTTATTTTCATATAATATATATATTGGGTCTAAAAATAGCAACAATCAACATTCAATCTATCTAGGCGTGAATCAGTTTGAAAATAAACTGATTCAGTAACTAAATTAAATTATATAATAAGATAATTCCTGACTAGATATTCATAAACCTGAGATTCCTTGACCAGATACTCATAAACTTAAGATTCATGACTATAGATACTCATAAAACTAAGATACCCACATATATATAAATTGTATATATATACAGTTTGAATTCTTTAAGTCTATTTGTGTTCCTTGATTCGCATGATGAAAATACTGTAGAGGTTTCTAAAGAAAACATAGAAGCCAATTAAGTTTTTGATAAAAAAGCATCATGTATGAGGTGAAATTAAGAAATGTTTACTTCGTATACATGATTTTCATCCTTTTATTTTACATTATTTAAATGCCTCATTATGAATCTCACGCAGCTTAATTATTTGCTGCTTCTTACTTTAATTTGACGGAGATTACGGATACTTATAATATTTGATGCCACAAGAGATGACTCCTATATTCCAATTGTGAACTTTTCATTATTTGCAGCAACATTCAAGTCGCATTAATGATTTATATATCTCTAACCTGACAAAGTACTCAAAAACCTAAGATTCCTTGACTAAATATTCATAAACCTAAGATTCCTGACTAGATACTCATAAACCTAAGATTTCTTGACTAGATACTCATAAACCTACGATTTCTGGCTAGATACTCATAAACCTAATATTCCTTGACCAGAGACTCATACACCTATGATTCATTGGCCAGATACTAATAAACATAAGATTCCTTAACCAGATACTCATTAACCTAAGAATCAAGACTAGATACTCATGAACCTAAGATTCCTGACTAGATACTCATAAAACTAAGATTCCTTGACCAGATACTCATAAACTTAAGATTCATGACTAGATACTCATAAATCTAGGATTCCTTGACCAGATACCCATTGCCTAAGATTCCTTTACTAGATACTCATAAACTGATCAGATACTCATAAACCATCGATATGTTTCATTTAGTTGAAGTCTCGATTCATTCGTACGTCGCAAGTTACTGCTGTTGGATTTTCATCGTGTAATCCGGTGGAGCCGGTGTGAGTAAATACATGCTAAGTCTCCCCGATTATAGACACTCATAAACCTAATATTACTTGACCAGAGACTCATAATCCTAGGATTTCTTGACCAGATACTTATTAACCTAAGATTCTTTGACCAGATACTCATAAACCTAAGATTCATGACTAGATACTCATGAACCTAAGATTCATGACTAGATACTCATAAACCTAAGATTCCTTAGCCAAATACTCATAAACCTAAGAGTCCTGACTAGATATTCATAAACCTAAGATTCCTTGATCAGATACTCATAAACTTAAGATTCCCTGATCAGATACTTATTAACCTAAGATTCCTTGACCAGATACTCATAAACTTAAGATTCCCAGATCAGATACTCATAAACCACCGGTATGTTCCGTTTAGTTGAAGTCTCGATTCATTCGTTCGTAGCAAGTTACGGCTGTTGAAATATTTTCTGACATCGTGTAATCCGGCGGATGCCGTTGTGAGGAAATGCATGTTAAGCCTACCAGAGGTCGCATTTATAAAAGGGGGTACACAAGATATTAGAATGGATTTACGCTAATTACATGTGAGTGCACTAATTAAACAATTCGAACATCGATGTATCTTTCTCACAAAATATACATATTTTTTTACTTCGACATGACAAGTAATACGTCACAATTGACGTTTAATATTGTATAAACATAACGTAAATAATTCTTTGTATTGTGTATTGTCCTGTCCAAACAATCGATTCTCATGTTATTTTTAGTTCTGACAGCTTTGTTTCTTTGAAAACTATCCCTTACATCGTTTGTTTTTCTCACATTATAAAGAATTGGATATCGATTATATAATTCCTTTTCTTGAAAAGGACATTAGATAGCCATAAACTCTCATGGCGAATATCATCCTAATGGAAATTTGTGAAACGTATCTCATTTGAAAGAAGCGTTCTAGCATTAATGTAATATCATTTAAGGTAAAGAAATAAAAAAGAAGAATAAAAAATATTATTGTAACTATAACATTTAAAATGACTTCTTTCGAGAAAAAAAAGTGTTTTTCATAATTTCAATTGTATACGATTTTAACCGGAAATATTTAAATTATATTTTAAACTTACCTAAATAATCGTCAAAGCATGTTGGTTCATATGAAGTCATAATTTTCCCTGTGGTATAACTTAGAATCATACTTGTTTTTCCTACCCCTCCATCCCCAACTAATACACATTTCACTTCTTTCGGTCCTTTCTTCGTCATCATATTTAGTTTTAAATCTCCATTTTTGAATTGTATATCTGTTTAAGACAGTTAATTAAAGTACAACAACCGAGATGACGTTACGATCGACTTTCCGGTCACGCCTCACAAGGTTTCATTAAGATAAATAACTATTATTAATTTGCAAGAAGATCAGATAATGTGACTCACAAGTATTGCATATGTCCTAACATATAAAAATGTATGTTACGTATATAATACAGATATTATGATCACCAAAATGTTTGTGTCTACGGTTAATATAATATTCAAAGCACACTAAATATATTCCCACTAGCTTTATACAAGTTTTATGACGGAAGTGTTGTAAAAAGTCCGGATACAAACTAAGTTCTTATTCACCAATAAGATGTTGGAAAAATGTCAAGTGGCGGCTATCTGAACTGAAAACTTAACAAAGACACTATCAAGACAAAGGACGATCAATACCTCATCCAAATTGTAGGCGTGTGGATTTGATTAACTGGGAAACTGATGGATCAAGCTATGGTTCATTCTGACATGGATTTGTTTTTAAGATATACACGATAGAAGACTATGTTCGATACATATGATACTCTTTAATACTTATTTAATATCACATTTCTAATATATTTGAACAATATCTATAACACTTGAAAAGCATCTTCACAAAGCACTTATGTTCCCACTGTAAAAATAAATGTTTAGGTTGTCACATTTATGATATTTTTAATCATGACATAACATATAAAATGATGTTTAGTTCCATTTTAGTACAGAATGTTGAAGGAATGTTCAGGGTTTGACATAAATGTATTACACAAACTTAACAATGATAATATAGCTTTCAATATGTTTAATTCAGCCCTCCGTTCTCGTTAACTCTGAGCAAAGTTATTGCTAAAAATTTCAACTTTTCTAATAGATATGTCCTAAGTCAGGAACCTGATGTTCAGTGGTTGTCGTTTGTTGATGTGGTTCATAAGTGTTTCTCGTTTCTCGTTTTTTATATAGATTAGACCGTTGGTTTTCCTGTTTGAATGATTTTACACTAGTATTTTTTGGGGCCCTTTATAGCTTGCTGTTCGGTGTGAGCCAAGGCTCCGTGTTGACCTATAATGGTTTACTTTTACAAATTGTGACTTGGATGGAGAGTTGTCTCATTGGCACTCATACCACATCTTCCTATATCTATGTAAAAACATAATCTCTAAGAAAAACAATTTCAGTTTCTTATTGTAAACATCCCATTCTTGAAAGGTAGCAATTAAAACAACACATATTAGCACATACAAGTTTAAATAATAAACATATACATGTGACACTACCTGTTACAAATTTACTTCTATCATAAATTATTTGTTTATGTGTCTCAGGAGTGAGTTAAAGCATGAAAAAAAAAGTAAAAAAAACTCATATTTAATCTTTTTGCATTTCATTAGCCTGTTTTAAGAAAATATCTTCAAACAACCTCACATGAAAATCATTAGTTAACTCGATACACAAAATTTCTAAAGAAAGTGATAGGTTTTACAAGCGCTCGAAACTGCGGACATCTCTGTAATGGATACAAACTTTAAAGAAGGGAACTGTGACATGCATTCCACATATAACCAATTTGTTTGACCTTGGTGTTGTCTACTTTAAATATTTCTTTGACTTTTGGTGTTGATAACCCCCTTGGTATCGTCTTCATCATTGTGATAAAATTTCATGTTTAAACGTCCTTTTGTAATTGGTGTTAAATAATATACTTAATTCCAGATATGAAGCAGACCTTGTTATTTCCCTACAGTCTCAATACATGCTTTACCTTATTTAAAAGATTGGACTTACATTATTTTAAAAAAATATTATTGTTCAAAGAAAAGACATCAAAGGAATTGCCTAGATTCGATTATGTTTTCCAATGAGTAGAGATTGCAGTATTTTCAATGCGAATTTATAAATGAAAAATAGTGTTTTCAATATGACTAACAATCAAGATTGACAAAATTCATAACATATTGTTCCCAATTTTATAGAATGCATTGTAATCCATTATACACAATGTCAATTATTCTGCAATTCTCGTCCTATACAACTTTATTATATGCAAATCAAGATAGGTTAGAATGTTTTTCACAAGCATTTTGAATAATTTTGACAAAACTGTCAGGATTTTTCATGAAATGTATGGGTAGAATGAAGATAAAAATGTTTGGACTGTTAAAATGCAATAATCGACAATTACATGTACCTGTATAAAAAATGTTCACTGCTCACGTTTGATGCCTTTTCATACACTTAAGGCCATAACAGAATTATTTCAAATGTAAGTTTGAAAAAATAACACAAAATTTAGTGCATTTGTACATATTCATTATGTATTCATGAGTGTTTTTACCTAATGTCCAATATTAGGTTCGTTCTACATTTTAGTATACATCACGTTAAATAGTTTTATATGTCTTACAATAAATCATATTATATAATGATAATAATATATATATATATATATATATACGGGTTATTTTGTTTTTGAGAAAAGTCATGCTACTATAATTCAACAATAAAGTGCAGTCATCTGACCAGTCGGAAATATGAAGAGATACATACGCGATAAATTGATGTGAATTTTTGCATTCTGATTATTTCTGAAAGTCTTTCTTTTTTAAAATGTAAGATGCGAATAACTGCTGGAGTCTTAAAGCCTACTTGTAAATATAATAAGTAAAATGAACTTACGTTTGACCTACACACACCGATTAACTGAAAAATGTGTTCTTTTTACACATAAACCTTTGACCACGAATATTTGTCTTTCACCACAACATTGTCTTTGCCTTTAACTTCTTCAATTTAATGACTGATTGTGGTTATAGGCACAATTTTAAATAAACTGTGAGATTTTTTTTCTCTATTGTTTAACACAGCCATTTTGACGGAAAGCATTTTGTACACCTATGAAGAAACATCATTGAATGACATGTAATGAAATATAAACTCGCAAATCATGACTTTTTAAGGCTTATTTTCCATTTCGTCTGTTTTCGCTATATTAAAGAAAAATATTCTGTTCTCTCCTTAGTGTTGATGTTTATGCTTGTATGTCACTATGTCTAACTTAGGAGAAATGGGAACGTTTGAAAACATAAAACTGAAGACAAGTATAAGAGTGTATGTGTTAGTTGAATGCATAACATGTTTATGTATTCTAATTTAAATAAGGTATAAAAATAAAAAGTTTGAAGCATATACCGTCGACTCTTTAAAGGAGTAATTGCCCTTAAATGTTGATTTTTGGTTCATTTTTGCGTTTTGGGCGAAATTATAGCACTAAGTACGGAAACCCATTTAGGACCTTAGCCAAGAGAGAAACTGTTGAGAGGAAAACATATCACCAAAATAAGAGCTACGTATAGGAGTTATTCCCCTTTAATGACAATGTTACCGTTTTTGCGTTGTTGTCTATAATCTTGAAATCTAAAGCAGATAGAGAGAAACTTAAAAGGACAAAAATGGTTAGCAAGGCAAGATTACAAATAGATCTACATGATTGAAATCGTCAGTTCACTTCTTATAGGGGTTATTTCCTTTCAATGACGACATAATTACCAACGATCAGCATAATAAAAAGATCCACAATTTAGTAAAAATTACATCATATATGAGTTATATATAACTTTGACCTATAATGGTTTACTTTTGCATTTACATTGGCATTCATACCACATCATCTTATATCTATATATTCCTCTTAAAGGAAAATGTTTTCCCATTTTGTGTGTTTTTGTAAAAAGCAATAACATATAGAGTTCTAGATTTAAACTGAAGTTTGGATTATTCCGTATCTCAACTGATTAGTCACACAAAGAAAGTGTTTACTGTAAGAAAAATAAGCGTTAAAGACCAAACATCCTATTCATTTCTACCAGTGATTTTTTCTTAAGATTTTGTGTGAAGGTATTTCATGATTTTTTTTTTTGGGGGGGTGATGATAAAACAAAATGGGGGTCACCGACTTCGTTTTGTCACTATAGCAATCAGAGTTTCGTGTTTTCCCCCAATTTATCTAAAGTCCTTTTTTAGGGAAATGATAATTTCAAACTGAATTGTATGATATACCATATGATTTCTAGTGAACTTTTTTTTATATATATAGCGTCCTTGCTTGACTTTTCTAAGAATTTTGTATATCTTTTTTTAAATGAACTTCTAGAGCGCGCGTGGTTGTTGGTGGTATCCAAAAATGAGTAAAAAGCACATCAAACTTTAAATGAAAAAAACTAAATTTTATGGGATGTAAAACTGTTTATCTTCCTCGATGCAATTTTTTACAAAAACATTCATCGTTTACAAATTGTATCGATGTTGTCAGCAGCAGTTATTTTCGGATATACGTAAACTAAATGTGTTGAAACTCTTTAAAAATGAAATAAAAATACGGAGATGTTTTGTTATTTTCCATAAGACAAAATTTGAAACAATACAAATGAGAATGATCAACGGCCTGATTTATAACAAAACAAAAATCGGGAAACAAATACGACAAACAGCAATCAACGACAACCACTGAATTACAGGCACATAAAGAATGAGGCGGGGTTAAACATTAGCCTGGCATCCTGACCCAATCTAATACTTCGTCGATTGTCAAGCAGTTGGCCAGGATCCCAGGCTAGGTTAAACATGTGTGTGAGAGCTCAAACCCCATAAACTTGGACAGTGGTGTAAAAGTACAACATAAGAACAAACTGTAAAAATCAGTTTGAAATGGTTTGACTCATCAGATTGACACGAAGCACAAAAACAACTTGCATGAAGACAAAAGACACAAAGTACCTATCTAAGAGTACTAGCAGTCACTGAAAGCTACATGTAGTTCAAACCAATTACTACTAATTATAATTAAATCATGTTCTCTTAAACTAAAATATCATGAGAAAAACATGGCCATGCGCAATGTCAAAATATAATAAAGTAAAAAACGTACAGCCGTTAGTTTTCTCAATTCAATTGTTTCATATTTTTCATGTCGGGGCCTTTTATAGCCGACTATACGGTATGGGGTTTTCTTATTGTTGAAGGTCGTACAGTTGCCTATTGTTGCTTACATCCATTTCATTTTAACTTTGGTGGATAGTTGTATCATTGGCAATCATACCACATCTACTTATTTTTATATAGTAACGACAGGATGACGAACCATAAGTTTTCATAACTGTATAGCAATAAATATTTAGTTAAAATTTATCAAAAACAGAATCAATGTTAGTACCGATAAGAACAATATTCAAAGATCCATCTAAGGCGACTGATAACCTTTTAAGAATAAATTTATTTCAATGGTCGATGAGTTTTAACGGAGCTTTATAAACTACATCACCTTTAAAATTAGGATGTGATATCCCGTTTGTAATAAGAATTCTTTAGATACAGTCAAACTTCCAAACCAAATCTTTGTATCTACGAAAGCATTTAATTATAATTTTAAGTAATTTGTGGTGACGAATCCATGACTTAATGATTTACCAGTTATACAAAGAGTACGTTTATTGAAATCTAACAAGTCAATAGAGACACGGGAATAGCGAACAAGTGGTGAAATATACACACCGCAAGAAGGGGCAAAAAGAACATCACAGTCAACAAATGCAAAATTAACAATAGAGATAGAAAATCGTCTCTTTTGTCGTAACTGAAATATTCAGATCTAGAAAAAGGCAATTATTGCTGTTTATACTAGATTTATCTAAAGTAATTTCCCTTCGGGTAAAAATTTCCGCAGTATAATTAGAGAATTCTTGATTATTTAAAACAAAATTTTTTTTATGATTCGTTTTATTTAATTTACCAATAAAATGGAATTCAGACTGAGTTTTACAAGTCTGCTATTCAAAGGGTGCGATTAATAAAATTATTACCAAAACGTACATAGATTGGTGTTAATATGTCCTTTAATTGAGTTAAGCTATTTCAGTTGATATTTTATAGTGTGTCTTTCTATGTTGTGATGTTACACTATTGTTTCAGAAAAAAGGGTGAAGGTTTGGTACCATTAAAACGTTTAAACCCGCTGCATTTGTTTGCACCTGTCCTAAGTCAGGAATCTGATGTTCAGTAGTTGTCGTTTGTTGATGTGGTTCATAAGTATTTCTCGTTTCTCGTTTTTTATATAGATTAGACCGTTGGTTTTCCCGTTTGAATAGTTTTACACTAGTAAGTTTTGGGGCCCTTTATAGCTTACTGTTCGGTGTGAGCCAAGGCTCCGTGTTGAAGACCGTACTTTGACCTATAATGGTTTACTTTTTTAAATTTTGACTTGGATGGAGAGTTGTCTCATTGGCACTCATACCACATCTTCTTATATCTATAGATGTTGTCAAGGATGAGGAATGTACACATTTATACATCTCAACAAAGTTCCAGTAAGGGGTCATCCATAAGTGTCAACCATTTTCCAAAGTGTACAAAACATACACTTTTTCAGACCCCCCACTCTCCCTCAAACAGTGTACATCAACCATTTTCAGATTTCAAGACAAGATTCAATCATTCTTAATAAAAAGAAGATCCTGTCTATTATAGTTTAGTTTAATATAGAAATTTGCATTGAAAATAAACTGAAACATATCTGACTGTTTTATTTGATGACATCTATCTGTGAACCCTGCGGAAACGAAAAAATTCCGGAAATAAAAAAAAAGCGTACGGTAAAAATGTTTGATTTTTTAACCCCCTTCCCACAACTGTACGTTTTGTAAACTTTGGAAAATGGTTGACAATTATGGATGACCCCTAAGTTTATCTAGCATATATACCTTTTTAATTACAGAAGAAGGCTTTATATGAGTTAAAGCAAATAAGTTAGACTCTCTCTCATATTCAAATGCAGCAAAATTTCAAATTCGAACAGTTTCGAACAAATTGTCCATTTTGACCATTTTTGAAACATTTCCTGGGATAATTTGCAAGAATTATTTCCAAATTCAGAAGATAAATTTTTCATTTATTATTCAAATCTGTTTGGATCCAAAGATCCCACTATTTTCAGACACTTTACACACGGGCGTTGTTAAGAGTCATTTATATTACTACTGTACCTATGTTAATTGGTTTTAGAGAATAAAGTATCTACTAATATTTACTCTGAATAAAACCTCATTATTTATATACTTAGCGTTTCAATCTTAATTAATACTATTTTTACTTATTTTAAGTCTGTTCGATGCATATAACATGTGTCCTCTCCGAATTTTTCACTGAAGTGAAAAACTGTCATGTAAAATTGAATGCAATACACCGAAACTGTAAACAGTAGAAGGAGAGATAACTCGTTTTTTTAACAAACTCCTACATCCATATCAGGAATAAAATAGATATAAGAAGATGTGGTATGAGTGCCAATGAGACAACTCTCCATCCAAGTCACAATTTGTAAAAGTAAACCATTATGGGTCAAAGTACGGCCTTTAACACGGAGCCTTGGCTCACAACGAACAGCAAGCTATAAAGGGCCCCAAAAATGACTAGTGTAAAACCATTCAAACAGGAAAACCAACGGTCTAATCTATATAAAAAACGAGAAACGAGAAACACTTATGAACCATATCAACAAAAGACAACCACTGAACACCAGGTTCCTGACTGCTCGTTTACTAATTTAGAATCAGAGCAACAGAGACAAGCAAAAAAATATGTACAAAACTAAAAATTTTGTTGAGCACCCGCAGAAAAAAAAATATTATTGAAAATTTACACATATTATGCGTTTCCGAAACTGGAAATTAGAAAAAAATATAAATGATACTTTGTTAATGCTCTGCACGCGTATAACATTGACAGCGAAAGTGACATTTGTGTGGGAGAGAAGGCTAGAACAGTCATGAAAAAGAGAAAAAAAATTGACTAGCAAAAGATTTCCTAATATTGGTACTCTGTTTACACACCCTATTACAGACTATAGGTACTACGGAGCAATAGGTATCACAGATCAAAACCTGATGTACACGATTAAAAAATTCTTTGTATTACAAAGGCAATTGAACAGCAGACAAACATCTTCTGTACGCAATAGCAAAACGACTGTTTACAATGGCAATCGGGAAAACAGATCCTATTGAATCTGCCGAAGTGATAAGTCTGAGAAAGGGTTTAGTTTGGTTTTAAATACCCACATTTAATTATACCAATTATCTATTAGTAAAGAAAACAAAAAAGATAAAAGTTTTAATGAGCATACAATTGTATAGTCTGTTCCAACTTATAGGTATATAGTTTATCTATGTTTTCTATATATTCAAGTATTTTTCATTTTTTAGTTCCACTTTTATTTGTAAAGATAAATAATTAGATAAATCAAAAAAAAATTTCACAATAATTTAATATCAATTCAATCGATTCATTTAAGGTGGTACCTAACACTACAGGGAGATAACTCTGTAAAAATCAGCTAAACGTTTTAATTACGTTGTATTGTTAAGGAAATATTAAGCTTCTCAATGATCAAAATTAGTGTTTGTCAAACTGCTATATAACCAATGAAATTTTTCTGATAAAGTGGTTGGTTCAAATTTTTTGAAATTTTTATATTTTTGTCAAAGGGTCAAAGTAAACATTTTGTCAAAATTTTATGAAAATTAAACGAGCCAAATTAATATTAGTCAAGGTGTTGGGTACCACCTTAACAGACAACTAACATGACTAATGATAAAACAATGGCATTCATTTGTAAAAGTGTCTTAATAATTCGTCAGTATCTAAATGATTATGATATAAATACATCAATATATGATAATTTTTTCTTTAATAGCAAACATAATCAGTTATATAGAGGGTATGACTTGTTTTAAGTATAGTGGGTTCCCCTGTGTTAATCCACCGAACTGATTGTAAGAATGGTAAGGCTAACCTTTATGTAGACAACAGTCGTTATCTAAAGGGGGAAGAGAAAAGAAAAACAAGACCGGGTCGTACGTCATTTTGGAAAGCCAAACCCAGTTTCCAGTTTCACGTCTTAAAAATGATACCTTTCTTCTTGAGAAAGAGTATGGAATTGTTTGTCTTCTTTAAAACGATATAAAAAAAAATTCAGATAATTTCCGTCTTTGGTTTTACCTCTTGATTTGTAAGATAAATGGTTCCAATACTGAAGTTAAACAACCATCAGTCAATCAAATTATTTGTATTTGTTATTTATCTAAAAGTGTATGAAAAGTTGTGCATTTGACCTTGTCATGAAAAAAATTTATTGTACTAAGTATATATGTAGGAACTGAGGACAGGGGCACTTGATGTTATTTGTTTTGTTGCGTGTTTAATATATTTTTTTTTTATGTGAATGTAAAACGGTCATCATTATATTGTTGTTCATACATGTAATTGTTATGCCTTTGACCCTCTTATGGTGTAATTTGTGCTTAATAAAATATAATGCAGTGGTGGTTAAACATATATGCAAGAGGGTAAATGTTCCAGAAAAAATTTAGATGTAAACAGATAAATGAGTGTAATCCTAGAAATAAATAGAGTAAATTATCATAAGTTCAAATGCACAACATTTTAGCTTGACAAATTCGTAGTTTGTTAAAAACTTATGTCTGAACATGTATTATATTATATATCAAGAAGTCTTCATTGAATATAAATATTATGAACATAATATAACTTTGTGAACAATGATCTGATCTTGTTTTCAGTCTCCAAATTTCCGATTTTTTTGTCGGGATCATGACCCGATAGGTTTGACAGGTAAGTGTTAAATTGATTAAAAAGTTTTATTGCATTTTCTCAAGCCCTTTTTAAAAGTACACACAAAGTATAAATTGCCTTAAATCTTTTAATATAAAATGCATAGGTATTCTTTGTTATTATTTAAAATCCGGATAGATGAAGGAGGAAAATATCACAACTTCTTTTGTTGAAATATCATACGTCAAATAAAATTAGTTTAAATAGACTTTCAAGTTACTTTAACTCAACCCGCTGTTAAATTTAAATGATTCTCTTGTGTGTATAGCGTTTTGGTGTGTTAACTTTGCAAAAAATAGATTTTGATGTTCGCAAACATTATGTGTTAATAGTACTATCAGTACACTTATTTTCCATTTTCTGTCGTGTGTGAACAATAAAAATCATAGAACAACACGGAAAATCATACGTTTTATGGTCTTCCTTAAGGCTTCTAGTTGTTTACTTTTAACCAAAAAATAAACACTTAAACGTTATATTTTGTTTTTTCCGCGCCATTGAACAGTGAAGATGTAAGATAAATTTTAAATCGCAATTCACAAAGAAAGGTCAACTAAATTTGTAGTGACATGTATCGGATAAAAAGTGTTATAATTAATGAAATTCAGGAATGGTAAATTGATGATGATAATCGGAAGTCTTGAGAATACTTATCATTTGATGGATACGCCTAATCGGACAACAAATGACGCCAGTAATCAGACCAAGAATGGTAACAATCCTTTTTCAGAAAGTGTAATAGTATGGCTGTACAATGAAAGTTTATATGAGAATATCAACCTGCCGTGTGTTATCTTTTTAATTGTATTAGCTGTATTCGGAATATTTGGAAATTCGCTGGTTTTATACATCTATGGATTCAGATTCAAACGGACAAACGCCCATTTCTTTATTCTATGTTTGGCTGTGTTTGACACACTGTGTTGTATTGCAATGTTTATGGAAATATTTGACAAGCGGTTTCCTATGTACACAGGGCGTTATAGAGTATTGTGTAAGATAACTAGATTAACAGAGATGTTTTCAACCGTATCGTCTAGTTTATTTTTGTTGTGTATTGCTTTGGATCGTTATTATAAAATCTGTAAACCGTTTAGGAGATTTTCATACAAGAAAGCTAGAATGTGTTTGCTTGTTTGTATTGGTATAAGTTTGGTGCTTTCTTGGCCTATGCTGCTCTTTCACGGACCCGAGACAGTACAAACCGGGGTCAAAAATGTTGTTGGTTTAGATTGTGGAGATGATGACAAGTATAAAAAGTCGATTTTACCATCGGTTTACTTTGGATTTATGGGAGTTTTAAATGTCATTGTTATAATTTTACTGTCTTTCATGTATATTCGTATATTTAAAGCGATTTGGGTATGGAAGAATCAACATATAGGAGAGGAAATACCCTCATCACCGGTACATGTGGTTTCAATGAATTATAGACTTAGTAAAGTGATATCTAAATTTAAATATTCAAAAAAGAAACGGTATAACAGTGATACCTCTGAAACGTTTTCTGTGGAAAATAGTGAGAATACTGACATATTTCACCATCAACATCCAAATAACAAAGCCGACACTTCTAATACCGAGACTTCTGTCAAAGCACACAATGGGAATTCAAAAAATGAACTTTTTCATAAAAGTAGTTGTCGGCCTAATAATTTAAGTTATAAAAAACAAAACAACAGGCGACAATCGACGACAATAGAAGAAGACGAGCATAGAAATTACAAGGATAGAAGACATTCAACCTTTAGTACAGGGAGCGGTCATAGTTTAAGGAAGGGCTTTAAAAGTTCCAGGACTGTGACAACAAACACAGTATTATTTAGTATTGTGACGATTGTTTATATATTTTCTTATCTTCCTACCATATTTGTTGAAACTCTGAACGCTAGTCATGTTTATATCGAAGAAAATTTGCCAAATAGAACCCGTAGCGTATTAGTTATTATGAATGTGACTTATTTTTTTAACAATGTAGCCAATCAGTATGTGTATAGTGCCATAAATCCTGCATTCCGACAGCAAGTTAAGCAAATATTCACTGGACCATAACCAGTCATAATTTCTTCCCTCCATTTTTTGTTGTTGAATGTTTTAAAGGTAACACTGTGATATATAAAAATTTCATTTAAACATTTATATTAAAACATATATTTTTCAAAGCTTTTAAATTTAGTTGCATGTATTTACAAATGAATGAGTTACTTTGAACGATGAAGTGTCATAATGTTCTTCCACAATTATATGATATACGGTAAATATTTTGTTCTTTTCGATTAGTCTACGTCACACATTTATGCTCGAGGTTTTATGTTTCCCAGTATTATACTTTTTACACAATTGTCAACTGCCAAAAACAGGACACAACTGTGTTAATTGATTATAAATATATGAAACATATCTGTGAAATGTTTTGTGATCACATCACGATTTTGCTACTTTTGCAATATGATATGTACTAGTAATACAGAAAGGTATGACAAAGAATTGAAATCCAGCATTAGGCGGTTACCTTAAAGTAATTGCATTATAGTTATTGGTCTAGTTTGCTTTGAAAACAGATTGACACCCACTCTAAAGTTTAAGCCTAATTGAGACCTTCCATGTCGGGTGCAAGTAAATTAAACTGTTTCCTCCTTGTCAAATTACTTTAGACACTGTTTTAATTATATGTTGTTTAATAAAAAAAAGAATTGATCAAGTGTTAGATTACTAAACAACAATCGCTTCATACTGAATGATCAGAAATACTTCATAAATATCGCATTGTTTAATATTCTGTTAGCTATAACACAGCCTTGGACAAGACAATAGGTGAAAATATCACATGCAAAAGGAGACTATCTGTAAAAGGATAAAGCAATTTGAACGTCTAAGAAAACGAGGGTGCTCTTAATGATAGTGGCGATTCGGTTGCACAATTAGATTCATAGTTGTTACTTTTTCACTACAGTTTATTTATAGCTCTTGAAACTTTAATAAAATAGTCTTCAAATGTTTTTTTTAAAGTAAATTATAAGTTCATTTTGAAAATGACTCGAAAAATACGACGCTAAAGAGGCATTCATAAAGCATAAGTCGAAAAGGGACACCCAATACAGTGGTCAAAAGAATAAGACTGGTGGAAAACAATAATACACAAAACATTACATAAAAAATTGAGCCCGTGAGATAAAGAAATTTAGGGAACATTTGTCATACATCTTTATCAAAACCTTTCATTCAAAACATGCCAATATATAATACAGAAGCATTTGCTACTTGGTGGATGGTCCCTTCACTGATTAAAAGTCCAACAGCGGGGACCAAACTCAGTGATATGATACCGATTACAGTGCACATGACACGTGTTTCCGGAATATTCCGGAAAAATCTTGTTAATAACTTTCACAAGCCACGGTACACTCAATCATCAATATACCTTTAAAATAACTAAGGTCAGATTTGTCTTCAGGAATCGTAACTTCAGTTTCAGCACAACTGCATATAAAAATAAGACAATGTGACCTATGATTGCCAATGAGACAACTCTCCACCAGAGACCAAATGACATAGAAGTTTACAGCTACAGGTCACCGGATGGCCTTCAAGAATGTGCAAAACCCATACCGCATAGTCAGCTATAAAAGGCCCCGAAATTACAAATGTAAAACAAATCAAACGAGAAAACTATCTGCCCGATCTATGTACAAAACAATGAACGAAAAACAAATATGATATACTAATACATAAAACGACAACCACAGAATTACAGGCTCCTGACTTAGGACAGGCACATACAGAATGTGGCGAGTTTGTTAGCGGCAAACCCTCCCCTTACCTGGGACAGTGGTGAAATAACAAACTATGGAAATCAGTCAAAAAGGTCTTAACTTATCAGATCTATACCAAGCAGAAAAAACACACAACAAAAACTCAGACCGGACCGAAAACTTTTGATTGAAATGTGTTATTGTGAGAGTAATCTTAAACTTAAACTTAAACTTAAAGTTGCAATTAAAGTCCGTTGATAAATTTAGAAATTATTAACAAAAAACAAGGTGCCGACTCCCTGGTCAAAGTTGCCCTTAGATGAATTTGGTTATTATTTTAGGCTCCTCCCTTGGTCATATAGCTCTTCTCGTGTTTATGTAGTTATGCATCCTTTACTTTACTTTTTTTCATGTATGAACGTTCCTGATGAGGATGAATCCAGAAAAGCGCTTCGGACGTAACAAAATTTTTAATTTCATTTATTTTTATCACCATACACTATTAATTCGTTTGAAATAATCACAGTTATTGTTCAGTTGAAATTTGTTCCCTGTAATACGTATTGTTGTCGAAAGAATTCGAAATTAGCAGGATGAAAAGTAATTGTTATCTTAATTATGTATATAATTTTTTATCCAGACAATGTGTCTTTTCTCTATGACAATGTGTCTTGTCTTAGCTCTTAAATGTAGAAATTATTTTAAAATATTAAGCCTTTGTGTTATATTTTAAATACTTATACTTGACTGTTGCTTTTGGTTATATTATGAAAACGTCATCAGCAATATTCAACCAATGGTGTGACATTATTTTCATTTTGGTTGAGCATAAGTGTCGGATCTGTTTGACTTCATATTTTTTTCATAGCTGCTTTTTAATGTTTCAAAGGTGTTGTCTAGGTGTGGATTTAAATGCCTCTAAACCTTATGCAGTACTTTACTAAATTGCAATAAAACCATTATGTTAAGAAGATTATTGCAACAAGCTCGGGCAGAGTGAACCTTAGGTGTTTTGATGGCACTGTTTGTTGACCTTATCGGGTATTTTGGTTGTACTGTTGTTGACCTTAGGTCTTTTGGCGTTACTGTTTGTTGACCTTAGCTGTTTTGGTTGTACTTTTTATTGAACTTCGATGTATTGGTTGTACTGTTTGTTTACTTTAGGTGTTTTGGTTTACTATGTGCTGACCTGATTTGTTTTTGGTTATACTGTGTGTTGACCTTATGTGTTTTGGTTGTACTTTGTGTTGACTTAAGGTGTTTTGGGTGTATTTTTTGTTGATCTTTTGTGTTTTGGGGTGTATTTCTTGTTGACCTAAGGTGTTGTGTATGTTTTGATTTTTATCTTAAGTGTTTTGGTGGTACTGTGTGTTGATCTTAGGTGTTTTGGCTGTACTGTTTGTTGATTTTAGGCGTTTTGGGATGTATTTTTTGTTGACCTTAGGTGTTTTGTGCGTATTGTTTCTTGACCTAAGGTGTTTTCGTTGTACTATGTGTTGACGTTAGGTGTTTGGGGTATACTGTTTATTCCAATTTGTTTTCGATGCTCACAAACTGTTGTTATTTGCCTCCAAGAGATTTGGTTTCGATCTACCTGATGAAGGACATACTATTCTATCAACACGTGTTTTGCGTGCTGAAATCGGTATTTTAAGTTTTCATCGTTACGCTGACTATAGATGGTATTTTCGACACACTGTAACGTTTACATTTATGATTCTTATAAATAGTTGACCTTCATTGATGAGTGAAGGGAATCTTATCACACTATCGGTCAAAATGATCAGGTGTTTGACTGTGTGCAAATTGGGGTAATTCTAAGTTAACAAAAATACATTTTTACTGTACATGCAAGGCTCGTATTTAAAGGACAATCTAAAACCAGAGGTCCTTATTCTTATTCCAATGAGTATAGAAGCCATCCAGAAAATGTATTATCATTATAACCATCAAGTGCTCCACTGCCAGCACCCACTGTACTTATCCAAACGTGTTGATTCTTATTTACCTACAATAAAATTTTGTATCTATTTTGAATTTTTCCACAAGTTGAAGCAGACAGTTGCTTAATCTGGCGTTTACACAGTGCCGATTATGGTTCCCGTTTCAGATCAGACAGCACCACGACATGAAAAATGAAAACAGTCGGATTAACTATCCTCCATGTTCTTGAATTCCTATCATCATCTGAACGCAGACGTATATATTCGTTATAGAGTCCTACGGCTCGGGAATGATCCGGAGAGGTCGGCCAAGCAAATGCGTCTCGTAACATTTGCTTCTAGATCTGTCTAGTTACTGTCTGATCTCTGTTGGGTCGCATTCGGGTGAATCGGGACGCTGATAGTACAGATTCTGTCTTTTTTTCTTTTATGCCACAAATACAAATCGGATCAGAATTAAATTGAGAACAGGATAATGGGACGAATTCGACAGGAAATGGCAGAATCGAGACGCTTCTTGAATAATATATGATTGTTGTCTTAATCAAATATAAAGTTGAAGAAATCTTAATGATTTCAAGCAAGGAACCAAAGGATCTTAATCAGATTAACAAATTTAATTCCTATAATAAAATAGTAAAAATCCTAAATGTGTGACTGAGGCTTAAAAAGGATTAGAATAAACATGAAATCGTTCGATTCGCTGCTAGTAATTAGGTGAGGTTATATATATTCATCGAGATTTTTCTCCTGTGAAAGTCCAAACGATCAAAGCTTGTCTCAGTACTGTTGCAATATCAACATGTTAAAATCATACTAAATAGTTTTGTTATAAACATATGCACTTTAACGATACTACAATCTGTCGATACCTTTGTTTTGGCATTGCACAAGGTCATGTTTTTTATTTGACTGTCATTGACGTCTTTACACTAAATCCATTAGATGTTTGATGTGTACTGATTGATATTTTAGTCTTAGATACATGATTTTTTTATTAGTTGTTATTGGCTTTGAACTAGCTGTCAGTAACTGCGAATACTCTCAGATCTGTACTTAGTGTCCTTTTTTGTTGCTAGGGATGAGGGATGGATAAATACCCTGCCACGTCCGGTCTGTGTTTATGTTTTATGTTTTTCTGCTTTGTGTCGATTTGATGAGTTAAGCCTTTTTCAACTGATATTTATAGTTTGTTCCTATGTTGTGCTGTTACACGACTGTCCCAGGTTAGGGGGGTTTAGGGTTGAGCGCTCACAAACATGTTTAACCCCGCCACATTCTTTATTAGCCTGTCCCAAGTCAGGAGCCTGTAGTTCAGTGGTTGTCGTTGGTTAATGTCTGTCATATTTGTTTTTCGTTAATTGTTTTGTTATAAATTAGGCCGTTAGTTTTCTCAATTGAATTGTTTCATATTTGTCATGTCGGGGCCTTTTATAGCCGACTATACGGTATGGGTTTTTCTCATTGTTGAAGGCCGTACAGTTGCCTATAATGGCTTACATCCACTTTACTTGAACTTTGGGGATAGTTGTTTCATTGGCAATCATACCTCATCTTCTTATTTTTATATAGAAGAAAAAACAGTTATTGTTTAACATTTCAAAGCGGTATAACATGTTACTTTAATTATTCTTCCCTTAGTTTATTTATTTTGTATTTACATTGTATCATAGATCAAATTTATTTGTTCAGTGTATGTTCACTGGTGTTAATATGTCTTTTGATTGAGTTAAGCCATTTCAATTGATATTTTATAGTGTGTCTTTCTATGTTGTGATGTTACACTATTGTTTCAGATAAGGGTGAAGGTTTGGTACCATTAAAACGTTAAAAACCGCTGCAATTGTTTGCACCTGTCCTAAGTCAGGAATCTGATGTTCAGTAGTTGTCGTTTGGTGATGTGGTTCATAAGTGTTTCTCGTTTCTCGTTTTTTATATAGATTAGACCGTTTGAATGGCTTTACACTAGTAATTTTTGGGGCCCTTTATAGCTTGCTGTTCG